TGTGCTTGAGTATCTCCAAAAATTCCATCACCTCTCTGGGCAATTTGTTCCAGTGTTTGACTACTCCTGGAGTAAAACTGTGTTGTTGTGGTTTTTTGTTTTGTTTTGTTTTTTCCTGTTTATATTGACTTTCACAGGTGTTCACTTTGTGTTCATCACTTCTTATCCTGTCACTGGGCAGAATATGGCTCACTCTTCTTCATTCCTTCCTATCAAGAATTTATCTCATCAACAAGATCCCCCTAAGCCTCTTCTTTTCCAGGCTGAACAGTCTCAGTTCTTTCAGCTTCTCTTTATGTCAGATTATCCACTTGCTTTATTTTTGTGCCCCTTCACTGCACCTGCTGCAGTAGCTCCCTGTCTCATACCAGTAAGCCCAGAGCTCCAGATGTATCACACCAGAACTGAGTACTGGACAAGGAATTCCTCTGCTGACCTGCTGTCAGTGCATTGCCTAACACAACTGTGGAGGTTGTTGACCTTCTTTGCTGTGAAGGCACAGTGCTGGCTTGTGGTCAGCTTTTTGTCCTTCAGAACCCACAGATTGCTTTCTGCAGTGCTACTTCTCATCCTGTTGTTCTCATTATGTACTTGGGAGTCATTTCTTGACAGACACAGGACTTAGCATTTCTTCTTGTTGGATATCATGTGATTCTTTTCAGCCTAATACTGCAGCCAATCCAGCTCCCTTTGAATAGCAGCACACTCAACTAGTGCATCAGCAGCAATGTTGTACCATCTACAAACTTCATGAAAGCACGCTTTGTCCAAACATCCAGGTCATTAATGAAGATAGACAGTATTGGCCCTGATATTGTCCCCTGGCATACTTGTTGTGGTTTCCAGATTTCTGTTATTGGTATTCCACATCATAACATTATGTAATGCACAGGGAGTTAAAGAGTTAAGGCTCCAGTTCCATGGATTGTTGATAGTTCCAGGTACGTTTCACAGAAGAGAAAGAATGAACTATATCTCCCAGAGTACTTCACTGTTCCACTTCCATTTTCTGCTTAGAGGGAAAGAGAAAACTGGGAGTCATGAGACTTTTTTTTCTGCTTGTCTCTGCAGTGTATGCTCTCTAGCTGTCTCACCTTCAACATTAGAGTAAGGCCTTTGGTTTTGGACAATCTCTCTCTTTTTATTTGATTTATTAGCTACAATTCCAATTGTATTGCATTATATTGCATTCTCTCACATTGTGTTATAATATTTGGAAATTAATTTTCTCCCTTATCTCGTTGCTGCTGTTTTGTTTTTAGACCCATCACAGGGCGTGGGTTCATGAGTCCCCCTGTGCCATTTAGTCAAGGAACCAGGTCAAACCAGGCCAGAACTGTGACAATGCTATATCTAAATAACTATGTAAAAGGCACTAAGTGCACTGAATAGGACTTCTGCTCCACCATACATTTTTGTTGAGTTTGTAATATAGAGTTGGTAGTATTGAAATGGAGCTTAATTGTAACTTTCCTAAAATCAGAATGCTGTAATGTCATAATTCCAAAGATGTTCACTGTATGTTTCCCATTTACAAGTATTTATAGCTGACCTACTGTTACTGAATCCTCGCTAATTTTATATTTACTTTTATTCTTTAAAAGATGTAACTGTTAGGTGAGAAGATGAAAAATTCATTGTACTCTGCAGAGAAGAAAGACAATTTTCTTTGTATGAATAGCAGAACAGCCCCATGGCAAGATTTGTAGGGTGAATTAATTCCTTTTTCTAGACTAACTGAAAAAACATTGAGAAGACATGAAAGCTGCTTGCAGGTCTGGAACGGGGGATGTATGGCAGAATAATTAATACTGACCTTCAAAGGTAAATACAGACTGAGAACAGTTGTAATGACTGCAACTGCACAATGTTGCTCAGTTAAATTAAATGTAATGCAGTGGAGAAAAGGGGAAAGAAATGAAGAGTTTAGTGTTCAGATCACATACACTGAGCCAAAAATTTCCATATATCACGTGTGAGATGCTTCTGCCAAGTGAAAAAGTATCATTGATTTTACCCCTACAGACTAATGGCAGAAGTGAGAGGAAGCACCATAAATTTCTACCAAACACTGTAAGTATGCTTGCTTCATCACATTTTTTCCACTCTCTGTCAAGGCTAGGTAAGAATTCTCAATAAGGGAAAAACTGGGGCAAAATTGCTAAAAGAATCTGCTGGGAAAAGGTGAAAAGGAGTTGGGCAGTGTTGTCTGTAAGAATGGATGCGATGATGCCCCAAATTGCAGGTGTATTTTGTGTTGGGTATTGTCAGCAGTATTTTCTTTGTGTAACTCTGCTTCATAGAATGAATGGTGAGAGGTAGTCAGAAAGCTCACCTGGCTGTCTGCTTAACAGGGATCACACTGAACCTCTATTTCAATGGCAAAAAAAAAAAAAAATGGTGCATATATGATGTCTGCTAGTAGTTAGTTTGGGTATGCAATTTTTGTGGGAAGAATGATGGAACTAAGGAGACAGCTGGCCTTTAGAGAATCTGGCCTTCTAGTTATCCCTGAAAAGCAGCTTATGCTACCATGGCCTGGAGTCACAGAATCATGGAATCATAGAATGGCCTGGGTTGGAAGGGGCCTCAAGGATCATGAAGCTCCAACCCTCCTGCCACAGGCAGGGCCACCAACCTCCACATTTAGTACTAGACTAGGCTGCCCATGGCCCCACCCAACCTGGCCTTGAACACCTCCAGGGATGAGGCATCCACAACCAGACCTTCCTGGAAGATCTGGGCATTCAGTGTAGGGACTACCTGAGTTCAGTAAATCCTCTGCTACACATAGAAGTACATGAAAATTGTGGGTAAATGATACTACAGCACATCAACCAATATTAGTACTGCTGCTAATGCTGATGGAAGTAAATGAATAGATGTAAGAAAAAATGGGAAGTTAGAAGACACAAAGTTCTTCTATTTGCTGAGAAGGAGTTTTACTCACCTAAGTGTTTCCATGCATTAAAGTGGGATTGTTCATATGAATACATCTTTGAAGGATTCGGTCTTTAGCAATGTCATCTTTTTTACTTTAGAAGATTTCAATGCGACTGTTGTACTTCCATTAAAAGACAAACAGATATTTTACTTTAGTATTCTTTTCTTCTACATATTTTTAGTTAAGTTTTACATAGACTGCTTTACATATGTGATTTTTTGAGACCTTTTATGCTTCTCTTACTGTATGATTGTTAATTTCTATATTTGATTCAAATTAATGACTTTTTAAATTGTAATACATTCTATTGGTTATATTGCAATGAGTCACAAATATCTCTCATGCTCAATTTCCTTTCATTCCCTTTGATCACTCTGTATGACTGATTTCTCAATACTGGTGTACTGTCTTTCATGTTTTTTGTCTTTTCCTTTTGCAGAAATTGCTGACCTTCACACAACCATTCATCCATACTCTGTTCTCATAAAAGTTAATATAACCACAAGCTTTAGTCTTCTTTTTAGCTTTACTCTTTCTCATCTATCATAGATGAGCTGCATTTAAGCTACAGCCAACAGTACCTCCTTGTAGGTCCACGCACTGGAGATAATGGAGGTCCTTGCTGTGAAAAAAGGGGAACAGAGATGCAAGGGAATGATGGAGCTGAAAAGAAGTACAATAAGAGAGTTTGGCAAACTTCTTTCACAGGACAATGATTGATCAGTTTGCTCTCTTCTATTTATGAATCATCTGGAAGTGGGCTTTGCCACAGTGTATGCTCAATCTCTGAGTTGCTTTTGAATTAATTACTATGACTATCAGCCTTTCTATTAATTTGTAAGGTGTAATAATCCAAATCACCTGTGTGATATCTTTTCCTTGGTTCAAAGATTCATTAATCCCACAAATGGCTTTCAATATAAATGTGAATACGTTGATATAACTTTCTGTTCACAAATTTATGTTTGGAGAATAGAAGTAGTCCTATATTTAATTTTTTTTTCTGCTTACAAACTGCCATAGAGTGCGCTTTCAAATTTAGATGAAAAGAACATGAACAATTTATTGAAGGAGAATCTACAGATATACAGATATCATTGTGCAATATTTGCCCACATTTAAAGTGTTCATATAAGTATGATACATGAGGAAGAATAAGAAACTCATTAACAGAATTTTAAGTACATTTGATGTAAATAGTATTTACTAAAGACTCCAATTAGGAAAGCATAACATGGTTAATGTATGTAACTCAGCTGAGTCCCAGTGTTAAACTTGCTGTGATTAAGTAATGGATGCTTTTGGGAAATGAATTGATGGTCTCAGGCTTGTTCCTGCTGGACAGTTATCACCGTCATACAAATGAAATTGTTATCCTATTGCTTTACGAGCTAAGGAGAAAGATAATGAATAGAATAGATAAAGCAGCAGACCTATTATTTGTCCTTAAAACACAGTGGCATTTAATCATCTGGATGATACGGTACTAACTTATATTCCACTGGCCTTGCTGAAATCTTTGGGACAAAAAATATAACTTCCAAGGTCTCTAAATCTTTCTTATCAGTGACATCTCAGATATAAATGTTCACGCAGGTTCCTACATCAGGTTGCTCTTTTTACTGTCAGAATTTTACACAGAAAGTTTTCTAAAAGCTTTACTACTTACTGGGAAGTGAGTCCTCACTTAGAAGGAACCCAACCCTTGGAAACCAAAATGTTGGTTAAAATAAAGCAAAATAACAATATGCAATAATGCAACATTAATTAAGTAACGTATGTATGATGCCATGTGCTTCTCCTGCCCTATTCCCTACAAGGCTTTCTCCTCTCTATCATATAAACCAGTTGTGAAGATTCTCTTTAAATCCTAATGATTAATATTTTTCTTTTTCATCTTTATTATTTTGTCAGTCTTCAAGGAATTGAGAAGATGACAACATGGCATAGAACTAGTGGCTTAAACTCTTCTAACAGCTGTCACTAAACCAGCCAATTGTACAGAATCTGTAAGAATTCCTAAATATTAATTTTTCTCTGTTTTTTTTTGTTTTAGAAAAGATGATGGCTGTACCACGAGGCACAAAGGACCCAAGAAAAGATGAAACAAAGTTCACTCATCTTTGGGCCCTGCAAACAGTGCAAGGCAAAAAACTCTTACCATCCCGAAGGCCCTTTTTGAGCACACCACTGATGAATCATCAAATATCCTGTGTGGAACCCTGCAGATATCAGTAAGGTGAGCCAATTAACAGAATAGTGATGTAGATTACTCTTAATCATAATAACCCATTAATTTTCTGGAAACTCATAATACAAATAAGACAGTAGCTATCCAAGCATCCTAATCACCTAAGTTTCATATAGTAGTTCCCCTCCAGTGATTTTCTTCCCATTGGGAAACTGTCCTCATGGATTATTATAAAACCATTTTTGTTGTCTTTCATACCCCCTCTGCTTCCACTCATTTTTATGGTCTTCTTCCCAGATGCTTTTATTAAGCATGTCAGTAGGAAAAATACAGCAATGATAAAGCTAATGAAACTTCTTGCTTCCCCGTGAAAAACAAATAACAACAGATGTAGAGAATCCCCCTTACTTATCCCTGAAGAATAAAACTAGGAGATTTGAAGTTGGACGAAGGGTTGCTTTCCTCAATTCCTCTTAAAAAAATATATATATACACATTAGTGATAGGGTACCACTTTGCCACTTAATGCTTTCTCAAAAACATGCTATTGTTGCTAAGAATTGTATGGCCCCTATGGGTTTGAGAAGTCTCCTCCAGGGGCATCCGAAGCAGATATTCATGCAAAGAATAGGAGTACTGGAGATGGAATATCGCATGTGCTTCAGAGATTACACACTGCATAGTACTACGGGCAAAGAGGCATAAAGGAGGAAATATGCAGAGCAAATGTGGAAGTTTCATGTGAGATTTGGAGGTGGCAGGAGTGAGTCTGTCTGTAGACAGACTCAAGTGTTACTTCAGGCCTTTCTGTGAATACATATTGACTGACAATCATGTGTTCCTGAAGAGCAAAAATGTCAGGCTCTGAGATTTGTCTGTGCATGTAGAAGCCTGGCCAGAAGTAAAAATGAGGATCCTGAGGCAAAGTTAAGATAAAACCCCTGTAATTATCTTCTCCTCTTTTACCAGACCACCACTAGATTAATACTGATGTCTTTTGCTGACAGTTTACAAATTATCTCATTAGTTCCTGTGAGTCTACATTCTTCCACTCAAAGTGTGAGAACAAATAAGCAAAGACAAAAGCAAAACCAAAAATCACAGCAGGTTGGAGTTCCTACACTAAGTACATGTCGGGCAACACAGCAGTATGATAAAAGGAATTCACACAATAAAACTGAACCCAACCCAAACCAAACCAAACAAAAAACACCTTGGTGAAGGCTTTTGGTCAGCCATAGAAAGAGGTATCTGGTTCAGCTTGTTATTGGAGTAATATATTGATCAGCCTTATGGTCACATTTTCCTGGAACTCAGCACTCAAACTTTACCCATAGGCATTCTGCATTGCCACTAGTTGCTACTGAAATATCTCCTATTTTTCTGTAATTTTCTTTCAGAATTATGTTTCTACTAAAAAAATCCAGTTTTATACAAGCACCGTTGTTAAGTACTATATATTAAAAATATATGTACATAATATATTTAAAATTTAAAATATAGAGTATAATTATACGTGTGTTTTCAAAGTGATAAAATTAACCCTTTTCATTTATAGAAATATTTGAATACTGTCTATTTATTGACGACTTACAAATCTTGTTATTTCTAGGTGAGCAAAACTATTTTTGGAACGTGATGTTGCATGTGTCCTTTTAAAGAGCTAGAAACTATACAACACTTCATGAAGTGTCACAAGTCTTACAATCCGTGCTTGCAGTATTTAGTTTTGAGGCATATGGTTTTTAAAGTTCATCTCCTTAATGCCATTTGTGTGCCAAGTTTAAAGCTTAGCTTCCAGACTGGGATTCTCTTCTTCTTTGTTCTGACAAATATGAATGCCCAAAGCCCTAGCAAAGTGTCTGAAGAATTTGTTTCCAATAGCACAGTCAGCTGCTCATATGGAAATTAATGAGCGATTTTAACACTTGTGAAATACACAGACCACTTTTTTAGAGCTTAAACATGGATTTTTTATTTTTATTTTTATTTTTTATTTTTTTTGAGGGTACAGACTTGAACTGAAATAAGATAAAGTAGGCTAAAGATTAAAAAAGACTGTGGACAGCTTAGAAAGTAGGTGGAAGGGAAATTTTCAGGACTCTACTAACAGTGCACAAATCACATAGGAATGACAGAGAACAGAGGCTCATGGAACAGAGGCTGAATAAATTACAGAAAATATTAGATATTATAACTGAAATAAGATGCCTATAGGTGGAAATTCCACACCTAAGTAGGTAAGCAGAGCATGAAAACCATGTGACTGCCTGCCTCTCTTTATTCCAAGTGATGCCACGGACTATGGAGAGCAGTGACCATGAGATGCTACTACCACACAGTAATTTGATTGGAAAAGGGCTTCAGGAAGTCTCTGTCCCACCGTAGGACCAGCTTTGGAGTCAGACCAAGTTGCTCAGGGCTTTGTTCATTTGAATGTCTAAAGCCATCATAGCCATATCATTTGCATAGTGACACCAACATGTCAGTGCAACCTGCTCCACTTTTCCAGGATAAATAAGAGGCCTTACCATGAGCAGCTGCATTCACTAGGTGTCCCATCAAGTTCCTTGGGCTCATGTCCTGTTTTATTCAAATGCATCCTAACCTGATTGTCCTCTACTAAACGATAGGTCTTTTTTTTGGCTTCTGACCTTCCCTCTTTACTCAGGGGTCAGGAATTCCTAAAGACCAGTCTTACCAGGAAAGACTGATGTAAGAAAGGCACTGAATACCTCAGCCTTTTCAGTGTTCTTCAAAGGGTTCCTTCTTCATTCAGCATTGGGCCAATATTTTCCCTAGTTTTCATATTCCTGCCTGTCTACCTGTGGAAGTCTTTCCTGTTACCTTTTATGTCCCTCACCAGATTCACCTCCAGATGGGCTTTGGTTTGAATAATGACTACTCTGTGTTCGTCCTGAGTCATCTGTTGCTGTTTATATTTGAGTTTAGTCAGGGTATCTACACTTGATCTTTTGATCACTTGTGTCAGGATCATCAATGCTCTCCAGAAATCTGGATTGTTTGTGCTGGAGTACATTGTCTGTTTTGCAGATATTAGGGTGTGCAAACAAGAGGTTTCTTCCAGTTATCTAATAGGCTCTAATTATGCGAGCTATCCCACTGCATTCTGATGAAGTCATAGCCTTTTTACTGCATACATTTCATCCTTTTGTTCCCATGACATGGGCATTAGTGTAGAGCACTTCAGCGAGTCACAGAGATGTGCTGATTTTCCAGAAAGAATGTGAAAGCCTTCACCACGTGCTGAGAAGGCCTTTTCAGTAGACTGAGGCAAAGAAGAAAACAGATGAATAATGTCAGATATTTGTAACTTCACTAGTCCACTTCTGATTCAGAAAAGTTATATTACTATGATGTATTTCTAATGTATTCAAATAACGTTATCTCTGCTCCTTAGAGCACACTGTCCTGCAGGCAAAAAACAGCTCATGATTTAATTATAGAATCAGAGAATTGTTTGAGTTGGAAGAAACTTTAAAGGTCATCTTGTCCAACACTCCTGCAATGATCTGGTGCTCAGTGCCCCATCCAGCCTGACTTTGAATGTCTACAGAGATGGGGCAGCTACCTCCTCTCTGGACATGTTCCAGTGACTCACTACCTTTATTGTAAAGATCTTTTTCCATATATGCAATCTAAATCTCTCCTTTTAGTTTGAAACTCCCCATGTCCTCTCACAACAGATACTGTGCTAAGGAGTCTGTCCTCTTCTTTCTTATAGTCTTTGTTTAGATGCTGATGGCAGTAAGTCCCATTATCAGTTTTGTCATGCTAATTATTCAACTAGATAATTTATCTTGAAGTAAAATGAAAGATGAGTCAGACTGAGCATTACAGATCTTTCTGTGTTCCCTACCTGTCTCATCTTAGCACTTTTACTCAGTGGAGCAGTGTGGAAATCAACCAAGAAGAGAATATTTTCTTTCTTTCCAGTATCTACAACTAAAAGATCAATCAATTTGTTTTGCTTATATATATATATATATATATATATACACATATTCTTGGTATATCTGTTCCCAAATTAGATGATTGTTATCTGGATCTATGTTTGATTTTTATTTTGGTTGTTTCTTTTTTTTTTTCCCCCTGAAAGCATCAGTTTGTGAGCTCTTCTCTGCAAATTTTCCCTTCTTGTAGCAAGCTGGTGAGAATTTTCTTGCCCTTCTCAAAACTCACTGGCCCTGAAGTGTGATACCTGTGGGCTGGAGTATCATTTGGTCTACTTGGGTTAGTATACATTCTACTTTGCTGAGCATAAATGTTAGCATCTTTGATAAAGCAAGAAGGCGCCTGCCTGGAGGTATGTACTGATACAAATAGGAAAAAACCTCACTCTTGCAAAACCTTTGACATAACTGAAAACCTGAAAATGGCTTTCATTGCTAGCCGAGAGCAACATATAAAAAAAATGTAGACTTGATGTTCATGGAGAATGAAAAAATTAGGTACAGTTCCTTTTCATAATGCCCAAACATTCCCGAGTCTTTTCCTCTAGCAGCAACAAAATTGGTTTAGCTTATTCATATCAGCAGTAAGTTTCATTAGGTAAGTTTAATAATTTTTAATAATGTTATGGCATAATATTATTAAAGTGGTTTTCACGTATCAAAGTCTTTCAATCAAAATAAAATACAATAAACTATTTCTTTTGTAAGTCTAATAACTAGTAACAGGGTTACTGATTACCTTTCCTACACAAAGGGAGACTTGTCTTCAGATGCTTGTTAGCAGCAGGTGACGTAGGGTGTTCAGGTATTCAGCAAGTATTCTTGTCCAAAAAAACCTCATGGCCCTGCTATATTCCGCCCTCAGAATGAATCTATACCTGTTCTGCAAAGTGAACAGCTGCACCGGAGTTCTCAAAACAACTTTACAGGTGTAATTTTGTCAAGGACAAAAACCACCACTCCCCAAGAAGCTGATAAAGGAGTTGAAAGTTCATTCTATTGCTTTGTCTCTGTCTGAATTGCACCTGTTCTGTTTATACCCCAGACTCTGCTGAATCTTACAGATATTGCTAT